TTTTGAATTTTTTTTTCAAATCAGAATATTTTCTTTTGTGTGTGTTTTATCTTTTCTAAAAAAATCATCCACCTTAATATTTTGACATACTATTGAACATGTTGTTGATGATACTTTTTTTTCTTTCAAAGATTGATAAATTGAACTTTGTAGTATTTCTCTGTATTCGATAATTTGGGTGTTGTTTCATTTAATTTTTAAGTTGGCCACTACAGGTCAATTATATTGAAAAAGTTGATTGTATTAGTAATAATATATCACTTAATATAACAACATATGCTTATGATATTATCTATGGCAAAAATGTGGAAATATTAAAGTAAAATTAATATTAATTATCCGATTGATGTGTGATTTTGTCATGCATTATAAACTTAATACGGAGTACTATTTTAAGTAATATATTAATTAGTTATCTAACGCCTCACTCGAGAAGATTATTTGTAGAGTATATGCAAGTGCAACACTACGGAGTACAGTTTTATTTGTTAAAACTGTGCATCGCACGGGGCTAATCTAGTTTTTATTATATCAATGTGTTTTTGTGCCAACTAAGCAAAAAAAATTAGAAACTAAAAATGAGCTTATATTCTGTGAACTAATTGACACCTTTAACATGTAGTGAGAAATAAACTTGTGATTTCCTCATAGCTTTTTCTCTCCTTAGTTTCTGCTTTAGCCCTTTTTAGTTTCTCTGTTAATTGTTAGTTTTTAAGGTCATTTTGCTAAGTTGACAAAAAAAAAAATGAATATAATCAAAAGTTTGCCATTATGATAAGGGAATTTTGATATTTAACACCATAAAAAGATTGAAAGACTAAAATTAATTTTAACACTACCAAAAAAAAACACCACAAAAAATTGAACTTTACCACCACTTACCAGTTCCCGTCCAAAAATCAGTTAAGTAGGGTGTAACACCCCAATAATTCTCTCTTTAAACCTGTGAATAACCTGAACAATTCCAAGAGAATTACCGGCGTGCTACTGCCACGTGTTCAAACGTTAAGACTTTATCAGAAAATAGCAGCGGAAAAACTAACTAAGTTATAATTAAGTTTCAAAACCAATAACCAAAACCAAATTAAATGATACAAGTTGGAACCATTAAGGCCCTTATTCAAAACCCAACAAAAGTAGTAAATGAATAAAACCAGAGTTTAAATACATTCAAATTAAACTTGCAAAAGAAATAAATTGCGAACAATAACCAACTCTCCACTCAAAATCCCACAACCCTGATGTGAATGCTGCATGTGTAAGAATCTGTGGTTAATCTGCTCCCCAATATTACAAGTGTAAAAATTGGATCGTCACAGGGTCATTGAAAGGCGAAGGTCATGACCAAAGAAAGATACACAAAGCACGCAATCAGCAAAGCTGAGTACATACAAGTTGCGAAACATAAAAGAAATCCCTAGCATGCTACTAATAAACAATCATCACACATCATTAAATTATAGACTCAACTAACACACGATTCAACTATCAATTTTATTAAGTCTTCACTAGTTGATAGTAGCTAACTTATTTATTTATTTATTTATTTCATTGGATTAAGCAATAGACAAGGTTGTCCAACCCATGCTCAATTTGGAACATAAATAAAAGAAAAACCCCATGCCTCCTTTCGGAAACATCAATAAACATCCAACAACCACGGGCGCGACTTCGTGACCGTAGTTAGTATGAGATCTCACCTAACTCCTAGTTTTGAAAAATATTTGAAATAAGAGACTTGTAGATCAGACGGCCTCGAGAAAAGCACACGGCTAAACCCCATGTACCCCAACCCCTGATTGTCATTACTCCAGATGTGCACCAATCTAGAGTTTTATTGCTCATCCATCTTGCACTTTACGTGATTTACTGGTTTAGACTTGGTGATGATTCATATACATTACAATACAACATTCCAAACGCAATTCAATCAAACATGGCAAATTCCCAATTTAAATTCTTGATTTATTAGTGACAACCAACATTTATTAATTATTCCTTTACTACCTCGGTGTATAAACACCTTAAGTGCATAAGGCACCCCAAAACTTTAACCTCGTCTTATAAGACTTGAATTCCTCCCTTACTCATCCTGTTTGCATAATCATGAATGAGTAATAATTTAATCTTTACACCAATCACATACCTTTGCCTTTAAGCGCACCTTGCATAATTAGAGCACAAATAATACTTGCATTATAAACTAGTGCACATCATTTGAAATTCACAATGTATAACCAGACAATTTAAACCAGTCAATCCTATACATGATACTAAGTTCTCGATCCGTCCTTAAACATGCACCTACAAGCAAGGTTTCGTAACTTGTACGTACCTTGAATAAACGAATTGGTATGCCACTTTACTAACTAGAAATCACCTTCAATAAACTCATCTCCTAAACCAAATAATATCTCAATGAATACCCAATCAATCAAATTTACAGCAATACTAACTTATTTTAAAACCTTCAAAATCCAAATCAAACAACACTTTAAAACCTTCCCTTTAGTTAAAATTAAAGGTTTATATATAGTTTTTTAAATTTTCTTCATAAAAACCTTAAAATACACTCTATACATGAAATTACAGCAAGTTTAAAGTTTAATAAAAATCTTAAAATTATTTAAAAAACCCCTAATAATCTCCCTTTTTAATGGGTGATTAAACCCTCTTTATAAAACATCAAAAGTAGTACTTAGAAACTATTTCCAGCACTTAAAACTTCAATAAAAACATATATTTATGCTTAATTAACTTTAAACATAATTAATTTTAAACATAATTAATTTTATTAAGCAAACTCAAGGATAATATTTTAAGTATAAAAAAACTTCGTTAAAATAAAAAAACTGCCCGAAAATCATATTTAGAGGCTGAATTTGGCCACGAGAGGGTGGTTTAATGAGTCTTTCTTAAAACGTTGTTTCTACATGGAAATCTGTACTTTTTTTATCAAAATCGAATGAGTTCAGAACCTGACCGGGATTGTAACGGGATTAATATTAACGAACGGAAATCTAAAAATTAAAACACGAATTTACATGTTCAAAATAATCTGAAATTAAGTTAATCTAATCATTAGTTATAATCACAAAAATTTCAAAACATCATTACTATAAAAGCCCTAAATCAATTGTTCATAAAAACCCTAAAATCAAATCTGAAATTTATGACATTTATAAAATTTGAAATTATCAAATTTAATCATCAAAATACAATTTGATACTAATTAATTAATTTCAAACAATAAAATCAAAACTCTTAAATCAATAATTATAATCATACAAATTAATAAAACAAAGGAGAAAATAAGATTAACCTTTTTGTGTGGGAAAATTTTGGGGATTAATGGGGTATTTATAGGGGAGAATGTTGTAGGGTAAATAAAAAGATTGGGTCTCATAAAATTAATGGGTCAATTAAGTAAACAATTGGGTTAGGCTTGTTTGATTGGACATAAATGGTAGAATAGAGGTGCATAAAATAATTTTTTTCAAATAATTTTCGACCCAAATTAATAATTTGAAACTTTTCAAATTAAATTCCGGAAAATAACAAATAAACATTATAAATAAAATAAAATTTCATTTATAAAATATTTTAAAAATACGGGGGATTACATAGGGTCCACGATGCCACATATCGATATGTTGTTGGTTAAAAACACGAAAATAAAAAAAACCTTTTAAACCCTAAAACTAACCCAGACACCCCACCACCACCACCATCGACACCCCTTCCCTTACCACCTGTGCAGCTTAGCCCCTGTCCCACCTTCGACTTACCCCTTCCAAGCCCACGACCACTGGAAAACCCACCCCTTCCTTTCCTTAACCCTAAATCGGCCGCTTCCCCACCAAAAACAATCGCCCTTCCCTAAATACGACCACCAAAATTGGGCACAAACGATGTAATCAGCCGGTTTTGGGCTAATTGATTGATTTTTATCCTAAACCAGCTTATTTTTTTGTTAAATTAGTGGCCGATTTCTAGCCGTTTCAGGGAAAAGGGGTTTTGTTTGGGTTGCAGGAATGGGAGGGGGTAGGTTCCGATGGGCTGGGGAGGGGGGGGTGGGTTACGGTGATCAGGAGGGTGTGTGCCGAAGGGTGGGGCGGGGGTGGAGGCTACGCGTTTGGGGTGGGAATAAGGTGGTGGTGGTGGGTGGTAGTTTTAGGTTTTTAATTTTTTTTTAACTAATTATATATTGACACGTGGCATCGTGGACCCCAATTAATGGATTTTGGACGAAATATGTTAAGTGGTGGTAAAATCTAAATTTATTTATTTATTTATTTTATTATTATTATTTTTTTGTAATGTTAAAACAATTTTTTTTTCTTGGGTGTTTAAAACCAATTTCAGCTATTTATACTGTTAAAAAATCAAAATTCATTAAAAATAAGGAAAAGTTGCAAATTGCTGACATTTAGGGCATGTACACTTCATCTTAATTTCAGTTCACTTTAGTTCAGTTCCAATAAGTTCAGTTCGGTTCAACTCTTAATTTCCTTCTCTCATAAAATATTTATTTCAGTTCTACTCATTTCAATTTAGTTTAGTTCAGCTCCAATCAATTCAGTTCAATTATATTCAGTTCAATACATGTGTATAGACCCTTAAACTTAGTACGTAGTATTTTGCAAATTGTAGCCTTTTTTTTTTTTCAAATTGCAGCCTGATTCAACTTTTTCATCGGTTAAGGTGTTGAAAAATTGTAAATTGTAGTCTGATTCAACTTTTCCATCGGTTAAGGTGTTGAAAATTTTTCATTTAAGGTTTTAGGAACCATTTATTTATAAAGGTTCTTATTAAGTTCGAAATTAGCAAAAACAATACTCCGTAAAGTAAGTACTTCGATTTTACAGCAAAAAAATAGTTGCCCACAAATCGATACATTTTTTATATGCAAAACGAGACACTTACATTATTTTTTTTTCTATTCCCTAGCTCTATTAGGTTGCTTAAGACCTAAAATGGCCCCTAAAACCTTAACCGAATATTTATCGACATGTAAACCAATAAAAAAAGTAGAATCAGGCTGCAATTTACAATTTATAAAAACTTTTGGGCTGCAATTTGCATTTTTTTTTTAAATGGTTCTAATTTACAAAACAATAATAACTTTAAATAGCTGCAATTTACAAATTTTTGTTTATAAACATAAAACGTTTAGGTATGTGATTAACCTAATCCTCCTCCAATAACTTATATAGTCTTCAAATCTTTCTTTCAAAAAAAAAAAAAAAAAAAAACTTAGTTTTCAAAAATTGAAAACAAATAATTGAAAATGAAAATTCACCGCCACAACAATGCTTAGATACTTTATCAATTGTATTTATAGAAAGATAAAAAAATCCAACAGACCAAAAATAAACACTGAAAAAGCATCTCTCATAACCCCTTTATTGGGCAGTCTACTCTCCCACTAGTCTACTTCTCCACTGCTACCACTTCTGTTCTGCCTAATATCGCAAACTCAAACCATCTCATTTTCTTCCTCTCAAATCTCAGGTAATTTTATGCAAGTTTTTGTTATTGGGTAAATGCTAAAAGCTTAAATCTTTCCACTTTTTAAGCTATTAGAATATGTTCAATATTCATAATATCACCCAAAAGGTACCTTTTTAATAGCTTTAACTTCAATTTATTTAGTTTTTGGATTTGAACTTGTTTTTTTTTTTTTTTTTTTTTTTTTATCTTTTTTTTTTTATTACTAGTTGATCTAGTTTTGTGTGTTCTATAATTGATTTGCTAATGTTGGGTTATTTATATTGAATAATTTATTTATGTTTTTTTTTTTCTTTTTTATTTATGATATGAAGTTTGATTTACTTTCTAGAATGCTGGTTCTTAAATATTCCTATTTAATTTTTTAATTAAATTATTTGGGTGGGGGGTTGATGGGAATCAAATGTTAATCAAAATCTCATAATTAAAATAAGGGGTACTTTTGAATTTGAAGGAAAGAAGGAAAGAAAAGAAAAGGGTATCTTTGGATTAATACTTCTTAAGATGGATTATCTTGTAAAGTAGCTTTTTAATGGTATTGGATTAATGGGTGTAGAAAGAAAAGAACATTTGATAATTGAATGGTAGGGTCTTTCTTGACTATAAAAACTATGTATGAAATATGAATGCTTTGTGAATTATAAAAGGGTGCAATTGTTACTTTTCTTCCTTCCAACTCCATCTACTTTGTGTCTTATTACGAGGTTCGAATTGGTAGGAAATTTTTGATTCTTTTTACAAGGTTGTGTTATACACTTATATTAATATCAAATGTTGTAACAAAGACAGGAAAAATCAACCCCATTTTCGCGGTATTTTAATTAGTTTTTTGTTCTTATCATGGCATCAAACTGATTCTATATTGGGTATTTTGTTTTGAAGCATTACGTAGAGCATTGGGATTCAACATGTCGAGGTTGGTAGTTTGGCTAGTGGTTAACATTGTGTTACTATGCTGTTGGAGAACTTCAGCAGATACAGAGTATGTTTTATATAAGGATCCGAAACAATCAGCTTCAGCTCGAGTCAAGGATCTTTTGGGCAGAATGACTTTGGATGAGAAGATTGGTCAGATGACTCAGATAGATCGAACGAAGGCAACTCCTGAAGTAATGAAGACTTACTCTATTGGTAAATAAATGCTTGAACTAGTTGCATCATATTCAAAATGTTTCTTATGGTTTATAATTTTATATTTAAAATGGATTCACACATGGGATTCATATTGCTACTCTTTGCAGAGAGTTGGCTTTAATTTGAAAATGTTTCTATATTGGGTCTCAAATGTTATCTTCAAATGTTTGTTCTGTTTTCGTTTAGTAATTATGGTAAACTTTCCATAAGTAGCTGAATAAAGGCCAAAATCCTGATATGGCCTTTTCTGTTTGAGCTTGCACTTTGCTGTTTACTTACCTTATAGAGGCAATTTATCCAGTGGAGTCATGGTGAGATTAGTTGGAAGCATTGTCTCATGTTTCGGGGTGTTAAGTATATTTTTAGAGTTAAGTTGGAAGCATTGTCTCATGTTTCGGGGTATTTTGAGATTAAGTTTTTTTTTTTTTTTTTTTTTTTTTTTTTTTTTTTTTTTTTAAATTTTTTTTTCAAGCTCTGATAATTTGCAGCTATAGTAAAGAAATTATCATTCCAATTATGCTGCACCATAATTAAATCTATGGAACTGTGATAAACATATCATTTTAACACCATTTGATAGGCTATAATGATATTGTTATAATGTGTTTATGGGTTTCAGTAACTGATTACCTTATGGTAGTAGAATCTTTGGACCTCCTGTTACTTTATACCATAATTACTGAATGCTATTGTTAGTCGCTTATAATGTCAGCCTGTTATAGAAGTATCACCTATGACCTATGTATACTTGTTGGAATGAATTGCTGGCTTTGTTTTCCTTGGTCATATACGCAAGTTGCTATGATTTGTTTAAGCCTCAATTGTTATTGAAGATTTTATTAGGTACACCTAATATAATCAACATGATGAACATTGTCCTATGAGAACTGATAATAGTTGGAATGCTGTAGGGAGTGTCTTGAGTGGTGGTGGCAGTACACCTTTGCCACAGGCTACTGCTAAAGATTGGATGGATATGGTTGATGGATTTCAGAAATCCGCCTTGACTAGCCGTCTCGGAATACCTATGATATATGGAATCGATGCTGTCCATGGACACAATAATGTATATAATGCAACAATGTTCCCACATAATGTTGGTCTTGGTGCTACCAGGCAAGTGCATTTCTACTTTTAGTATGCATTTTCTTGTAAGATATATTGAATCCGATTCCTATCTTGTAAGATATATTGAATCCGATTCCTATCTTATACTTCTCCCTTCCTCTTAATTCTGATTTTTTGAACTTAATTTATTCCTTTGTAATTACACCCATAACTATAAAATAAATACTCTGTAGTGTTCAACTATCTATCTATATACACAAGATAAAACTCTATAGCCATGGGCTTGTTACACCTACTACTATATCCACAGCCATTATAAGTAGTATTAAGAAGTCCTATTTGATCTGCATAAAGTTGATTTATAGCAGTATTCTTGTGCTGCAGTTTAGTCCTTCCAATTGTTCACTTCCACATAGGAGGATATCCAATTATTTCCTTCCATAAGCAATTTCTTAATTTTGCAGAAGAGGCATCTGTTCTTTCTCTTTCTCTTTTTTCAATTCTGTGGATTACCATAACATGTGGTGTATAGGGATCCTGACCTTGTGAAGAGGATTGGTGCTGCAACAGCTCTTGAAGTTAGAGCCACTGGGATTCCGTACACATTTGCTCCTTGTATAGCGGTAAATACTTTTAATTATTGCATATTGGGTTTGAGCAATATTATAAATGTTTATTTCTCCACATTTGCTCAATTGCCTTTTCATGTTCCCTTAGGTTTGTAGAGATCCAAGATGGGGTCGTTGTTATGAAAGTTACAGTGAGGATCACAAGATTGTTCAGGATATGACAGAAATCATCTATGGTTTGCAAGGAGAACCTCCTGCATCACGAAAGGGCATTCCTTACGTCGGAGGAAAGTATGAATCTATTTTGAACCCTTCAATTATGGTAACTTTCTAATATAAAAGACTATTCATTGGCGAATGGAATACGAATGAGGAGTGTTCTTCTGTTGATGCATTTTTAAGTGTCAAAACTTAAAAAGTAGAGAAAAATCCTTCTATTTCATAATGTTAGTCTCATATACTATTTTAGGCGTTTTAAAAAGATATACCCATATTAAATATATTCCATTTTTAACTTAGTTTTGATTTCCTATTTTATACATATTAAATTCTAATTGGTTAAATTAATTGATTGTTGATTGATGACATGACTCTAAGTAAGGAAATCTCACCCATGAATTATGCAATTATGGCTAATTCTTTTCAAAAAAAATAAAAAAAATTAAATAAGGCAAAACTAATTATGAACAATCTTTCAAAAAAAAAATTATGAACAATCTTTGTACTTTAATGTTAGATTCCAAATATTATTCTTTTCTTATTGATTGACTCTATATGGGACTATCATATTGAAACGGAGGGAGTAACATGTTTTGTTATTTCTCTATTTTATAATGGAGATGAAATCTAAGCAACCAAGGCTGGATCTCATGTTATGATTTAAGAAAGTAGAAGACAAGGAATGATGTGAATGAAACAAATAAGAAACAATTTGTGCGGTCTTAAAAACAAGTGAAAATAAAAAATTGTGCATTATAGGAGGCCTTGGTTAAAATGATAATGAAGTAAGGATATAGCATGTTGACCATGATCAATAAGTGGCTCATCTGATTTGAATTGCCACTGTTGGAAACAAGTATACAACCATATAAGCTTATTTACTCGTATTTAATAACTTACATGAAGATATCAATGATGAAAAATTGTAGATTGGTGATGACTAGGCATAGCTGGAAATAATTTCTCCAAACTGGGTGCACTTGATCTCTTTCTGTGCAATGAAGGATAATCAAAGTGAGATGTTACCTATACCTTGTAAATGTAGCAAAATGGAGGGGGCAGTTTGAATTTCAAATTGAGGGGTTTGAGATTTTGTGTTATCCCCAACCAAAAAAAAAGAAAAAAGGAATTGTTTCATGCTTTCATCTATAATTGCCTTTGCTTTAATTAACTTGAGAAAATTTCAGCTGTGCCTTTTTTCTCCTTAATCCTAAATTATTTGAATAAATAAAAGATCATATAAATTAGAAAGTATTAACTGCAGAGAGAGAAAATGCTGCAGTCCTCCAATAAGTACTACGAGAAAAAAGACATATAGTAAGGAATAACAGTGCCGTTTTCCCTTGGTCCTTGCCTTCTTCTCTCCCTCTCACTCTTGCGTTTTCTCTCTATTTTTTGATAACATATTCAGGGACAAAGTTGCTGCTTGTGCAAAGCATTTTGTTGGAGATGGAGGGACGACTAGAGGAATTAATGAAAACAACACTTTGACTGACATGCATGGATTGCTTAGCATTCATATGCCTGCATACTCTGATTCTATTATCAAAGGTGTTTCAACAGTTATGGTTTCATACTCCAGCTGGAATGGAGTAAAGATGCATGCAAATCGTGATTTAATCACGGGATTTCTGAAAAATACCATGAAATTCAAGGTAATATTGCTGATAAAATTAACTAAGCTTTGGTCTTATAATCTATTCTGTTCTCATTTTATCAAAGAGGATGCTCTTGTGTGCATTACAGTTAAGAAGATCTGGATTAAATATTTCCATAAAATAAAATTTGTAACCCAATTTCAAAAGTCTGTTAACATGCAATTGAAGTTTCAACTAGACCCAAAAATCTTTGTACTGACAATTGACTAATTAAGAAAAGAAAAATCTATAGAATCTTCTTGTAGACCAATATGTATTTATTTTATTCTCGTATGTGGTATCTGTTTTCAATTTCCTTAAAAGAACATTAGAATTTCTTGCTCTACTTCAAAGTAGATAAAAGCAGCTGCTGTTTTGAGCTACATGTATAACAAAATTATGATTGATTGCCCAAATGTTTGTATACATGGCAGTAAAGTCATGCTGAAATCAGTGTCAAAGTTTTTCTGTTGTCCAAATTTTGTATACTTAGCTATAATGTTATAATGTTTATAATTTATATTCTTAGCACCTGCTTTAGTGAGAGATTAACAATATGTCAAAGAGACGAGGACAATTTGACTTTTGCAGTCAATTAAATTCAATATTCCCTGCCATTTCAGTTATCACTAATCACACACTGGGTTTAGGTTTTGGAAATATATTAGAGTGTTGATTCGTAAATGAAAATGACATTTGGTAGGGATGAAAAGTATTTTTGAAATTGTCTAATTTGCCCAAGGTCCTAGAACTGTTTTAATATTGCATACTTATTTACTCTTAATCATTATTGAACAATATAAGCTTGGGCATGTGATCTGCTAGTTCAAGTTTCACTAATCAATTACCAAAATAATAACTCTACTCAATTTCTATAACATTTACACTAGGTGCTGTGACTGCTGTCATGGTGATCTATATGCATGCATTCGTAATGTGACCATTTGTGTATGAACTTGTGTCATTAAGGTTTTTGTTCTCTTATCATAGCCATTGATACTAATTGCAGGATTTGTTTTTTTGTTGTCATTAGGGTTTTGTCATCTCAGATTGGCAAGGAATTGATCGGATTACTACACCGCCTGGTGCCAACTATACATACTCAGTGTTGGCTGGGATTCAAGCTGGCATAGACATGGTTGGCGTCTTTGCATTTTGCATTGTCCTGAAGTTTTCATGAAATTATTAGCAAATATATTGTTGTTGTTAGATTGAGAAGCCCCAGTTAATGATATTTCAAATTTATTTGTGCTTGTTGAGTGACAGATCATGGTTCCATATGATTTCAATGTGTTCATAAGTGATCTAACACAACTAGTGAAAAGCAACGAGATCCCTATGGAGCGTATTGATGATGCTGTATCGAGGATCTTGTTTGTCAAGTTCACAATGGGCCTTTTTGAGAACCCTTTTGGTGATCCCAGTCTTACAAAGGAGCTGGGAAGTGAGGTCAGTCAAACATGCAATTTATGGATAAATCAGCCTCCTTTTGCTTTCCTCATTTATCCTCCTCACCCTACCCGAATGTGTATAACTTTTCCCCTTCTGTTCTCTCAGTGATAATGTTAGAAAAACTTTGTTTACTAATCTTAAATCACATGTGATACCAATTCATTTCCATTTGCAATTGAGCTTATGATGTATTACATGGGTAATGACAAAATCCTCACATGTGCAGCCCCACAGGGATTTGGCTAGAGAAGCGGTGAGAAAATCACTTGTTCTACTGAAAAATGGTAAACCCGGACAAGCTCCGGTGCTTCCCCTTCCCAAACGAGCATCAAAGGTACTAGTTGCTGGTGAGTATGCTGATAATCTGGGTTATCAATGTGGAGGATGGACAATTAATTGGCAAGGATTCACTGACAGCAAATCCACAAGAGGTATATCTTACCTTCCTATCTTGGTGCATTAATTAAGAAATACATACACCTACACCGACAACTACCCAGTAATTTTTCCCATGAAAGTGATGTGGTAGTGTACCTAGTGACACATTAGTTTTCTTGGTGTTTGGTTGTATTGACATATTCTACAGTATTAATGTAATTTGGTCTTTAAATGATCAGGAACAACCATCCTTAGTGCCGTAAAATCTGCAATTGATCCAAGCACCGAGCTGGTATTCCAGGAAAATCCTACTGAAGACTTTGTAAAGTCCAACAATTTTGATTATGCTATTGTTGTCGTGGGGGAGCCCCCTTATGCAGAAACTGCTGGAGACAGTGAGAACCTCACGATGGCTGATCCTGGCCCAACTGTCATTAACAATGTCTGTGGGGCTGTGCAGTGTGTTGTCATAATCATATCTGGCCGGCCTCTTGTCATTGAACCTTACATGAATACAATCCACGCCTTAGTGGCAGCATGGTTGCCTGGGACAGAAGGTCAGGGAGTGGCTGATGTTTTGTTTGGTGACCACGAATTCACTGGAAAGTTGGCCAGAACTTGGTTTAAGACTGTAGATCAGCTCCCAATGAACAGCGGGGATCCACATTATGACCCTCTCTTCCCCTTAGGCTTTGGACTCCAAACGGTGTCACTCGTCACTAGGTAAACCAGCTTTACTACTCCTGTAGACTATACTCACCTAGAATACATGTCATTGAATCATTGATTTGGCTAAAAACTAAAAAGAATTTTTATCATTTTATTATTTATTTTATCTTTTTTTCTTTCTTTATTGAATTATGGATTTCCTTAGTAAGATTATGATTCCCTTTTTGTTTTTTATTTTTCAGATCTGTATCGGCTGCTGCGAATGGAGGGCCATGCATTTTCATGTTCACTGCTTCTCTATTTATCAGTTTATACGTTAAAGTTGCATTATGATAGTAGAGTTCCAGGAGGAATTGATTAGATTTAGATTTGTTGGATTAATTATGTTTAGTACATTCTTTATCCTCCATTATCTTTTTATTCTTAATTTCATTTGCTTACATTACCATCAATTTCTATTCCTTCCCTTAATTTATTTCACTTTTTTGGTATTACCTTTCCATTTTTTTTTAATTTTTTTTTTTTTTGTGTTTTAAACAGGAATATTATTTTTTTTTTTTTTTTTGAAAACAACAGGAATATTATTTAATAAAATGTGAATATAATAACTAATAAGTATAGAGTACTTATTTAAGACAAAAGATCACTTTGCGTGTATCTATCCTAATACATATATTAGAAAGCGTTTCTGATAAATATATGGCCATTGATGTGCTTAGTCATTGGTTAGTGGAGTAAAAAAAATTTAACCTAGTGCTGTTAATGTGGCACTCTTGCCTTGTTCTTTTGAGCAGAAACGAGTTGATTTAAAGATACTGAACTAAGCAGAGCGAACTAAGTTAAAGTGAATATATTCAAAAGAATGGCTTAATTAACCTGTGTCTATCATATTCTTGTAAATAATGAAATACTTGTATGAAAACCGTCTTAACTTATCCTTCCGTTTTAAGTCTTTCAAATCCATAGTCAAATAATTCAAATTTTCCAAGGTAAGTAATTTCACAAACCCATTAGCGTTGTAAGTTTAAATTTGTCCATTTTTTATAAGCAAACTATTAGGCTCTATATTGCATACATCTATTTTAACTGTCGTAAATGAACATTCGACTCCATAGAAAATATGTAAAATAGGTAAGTAAAGCACATATAAATTTAAATTTTCAACATCCAAGCAAAGCTTGTTAGTGACATTTTGGCAGCAAATGAGTATAAAAGTAGACAAGAAAATGTTACTCTCCAGCCTTTACTGAATGTAGAAATTTAATAACACATTCAACTCATCATAACCTACAAAAATGTACTAAAGCAATGTTTGATGAATGGTTTTGCTAGCAATATCAATTTGCTTAACATAAGAGCCCTGAAATCTTAAGGTGAGGCAGAATGAGCTACAAAGATTAAATCTATAACTGACAGAAAAAGTTATAAGGTATGAGACGATCTAAGATAGCACAGCCATCACATCCGATGCTCTCAATGCAATGTAGTCAGAGCCATCAGCACCCTGCAAATCATTTCCGGCATATTTGGAGTACAAAACTGTATTTCCTGGAGAAACAGGGAGTGGAGTCCTATTTCCCTCTTCGTCTAAAGAACCAGGACCTGTTGCAACTACCTGTCAAGTCAATAAAGGCAGGCAAGTATGATGAGTCAATTGAAGATTCTAAATACCGTCCAACATTTCATGGTATTATGTCCAAATTATGACAGATTGCACTTCTATAATAATTATCAATAAGAGTGAAAATTGTCAATTGGCAATCATTTATTATAGTTCAAGCAGGACATATACCGTGCCAAATGAAGGCTTCTCCTTAGTTGACTCTGCCAGCAACAATCCTCCAGCAGTCTTATTCTCAACCTCAGCAACCTGTCCATGTTATACAAATGCAAATCAGTAATACCGTGCCAAATGAATTTGTATTTAGCATTAAAGGTGTTGTTTGCCAAGACTACAAACCTTAATCAACAGGCGATCATTTAAAGGCTTGAGGTCCTTAACATCATCAGTCTCTAGAATGCCAATTATATCATCTTCTTTGAGTATCAGATGACTTAATCCTTCCACTTCTATTTCAGTACCTGTGTACTTGGAATATACAACTTCGGCACCAGTCTACAGAAAAAAAAAATATATAGAATTGGTTAATCACAATTCACAGTCAACAAGCTAATATGGGATCTGCATATTAAAGCATAGAAGCATCAACCTTGACGGCAACTGGCAGATTTTTATCCCCAACTTTCTTGCCTGAACCGATGGCAACAACTTCCCCTGATTGAGGTTTTTTTTGTGCACCTGTAGGAAGAAAAATTCCACTAGTGGTCTTCTCCTCAATAATCTTTGTTTTTACTAATACTCTATCTCCCAGTGGCTTAACTGATGTATACTGTCCACAGATAAGGTGACAAATGAATCACATCAAGGTTTTATCTGGTTAAGAGGAAAATATTGACTATATACAAGGTCATACACTAACCTTGTTTGAGGTTACAGAGGCAGCGTTAACAGCCAAACCACGGAATGACCTTGAAGTAGAACTAGGATATGCAACAGAAACATTGATCTTTGAAATTCCAGAAGAAGAGCGAAGGCCTTTGAACAAGGGTAAATTTTTGATAGTTAGAGATGAAGTACTTGTAAGCTGTGTGGCAGCCATTCCTGTGAATATTAAGAAGAACCAAGAAAGAGATCAGATGCCATGTTTTATACGAAGTATATACTATATATTTTATAGTGGTAGCATATGCAACACTTTGACCTCTACAGTCAAAAATCTTGTTTCCGATCATCAAGTGATGAATTAGAATATGCCATGCAGCATATACTACCTGAAGTAAAACTCCAAAGTACAAGTGTATGAAACTGAAAACTGAAAAGCATTGCATAGCCTGGAATATTAATTCAATATCCTTTTTTCTCATTACTAGTGACCCAAAATAGGACCCTTTCAAACTTTTTCCAGTTGAAGTTTGAACGCGTATATGATTTAAAAGTGTTTCAGGAAGCTCCATGGGAATTCCACAGTGTGTAACACAACTATGGAGCTCTATAGAGTTGCAAAAGACTAGAGTGAGGCGAATCGAACAAGGAGCAGTTCATGTTGGACATTACAGTCATTCTCAGCTCAGTGAGAATTACACATTAGGAAGATTGGAAAGTATGCCATCAGTTAGATGTTAGCAAAATACCCATCTCTATGATATGTTTACAAATACGTCATTATTCAGCTATTAAGGTTTCAATAGACAATAAGTAGACTACCAATGTCTAATTACACGGTTTTCTCTCAAAATCCTCAATGTTACATACGTCTAACCACACTCTACCCACCCCATCTCCTCTAAGACACTCCTTATACTTCATTTGTTTCTCAATACATGCAATAAGTCGACTTTTGATGAGTGAATAATAAAGTCAGCTTGTAGCAAGTATTAAGAAACGAAAGAAGTATACATAATTAGGTAATGATTAATGTGGTAAAGCCAAACCAAATTCAAAAAGCAAACAACTAAACACTATGACACATTGACACCTAATCACCTATTACATAGGGCTATAACAAATGGCTGTAATGGTATTAAGTATTACTTTGAACATTAGCATACAATTTTTTTAGCAAAATCACATAAAAACTCATTATCATTACCACATACAATTATTGTCTACTGAACAAACAATAACTACTGCAATTGCAACATCAACATTGTTTAGAAAAAGAAGATAATTTAATAACACCATTGCCCTACTCCCTAGTTACTGTAGGTAAATCTATCTTTCAATTTGTAATACTCCGTAGTTTAAGTAGCTAAAACTTGGTTAAAACACTAAAATTACTCAAAAAGCTATTGCCGAACACGCCCTTTGCTCAACTCTATAGTGCTAACTATTAATATGAAAGAAAACCCACTTGGGCGATAGCATACAGTCGAACATATGAATTATGAAACTTGATATAAATTACAAAAGATAAAAAGAAAATTCCAAGAACAATACATAAATTAATGAACCCAGAAATTAATCTAGAATAAATTGCAGGTATCATGAATTATAAATTGATAGCTAGAAAAATGGAGCAAATGTTAGAGGGTGAAGGGAAAAAGAGTGGATAGAGAAGGACTTACCAGGAAACTGAGATAGAGAAGAGGTAGAGTTGGTTATGGGATTTGAAAAGAGAGGAAATTCAGTATCTTTTGCAATTGTTGAGGTTGCTTTATCCTAAACTAAATGGGCTCCAAAGTCCAAACTCTAAATATTACAAATCCTTCTCTTCCCTTGTATTGAATTTTTTTTTTTTTTTTTTTTAAATCTTAAATTTGGGCCATTTACTTTTAATAATTCCAATCTAATCATATAACTAATATATAAAGCTAAACTTTTAGCCAGGTCACGAGACAACGACACTTGGCGTTCCAACTTTTCGCCGGAACGCCAAGTGTCGCGCCACGTTGGATAGATTAAAATAAACTTCATAAGATAAAAAAAGTTAGTTTAGAATTCTATTTGGATAGAATTTTAGGATAAAATTGTTAGTTTATTGTTTTATTTTCGATAAAATACCAATATTAAATTGAATTATAATTTTGTTCAAAATATTACTATTAGTTTTTATTACGTACCTACTACATAATGTAAATAAAAATTATCTTAAATTCAATAAATACCCGGGCATCGCACGGGGCACCAAACTAGTATATATATATATATATATATATATATATATATATATATATATATATATATATATATATAGGAGTTTTTTCCCGAGTTTTTAGAGAATCACGTAGGATCTAATTTTCTTAGTGTGCTATGTAATATTATAAATTTTAGTAGAAGCCAATTAAATAAGAGATAATTAAAATATTTTAAGATTTAATAATTCAAATGACACGTAAACAAAATTGACGAATGAGATTTTTAAATTTAAATTAATTAAATATAAAATATTATCTTTTGATATTAGGACTTTTATCTAAATATATATTATCTCCGTTAAATGTTTTCTGCAACTTTTGCCATTTCGGGATGATCAGGGTTATGTGCAACTTTCTGTTTTATTTCTATTTTTGGTATACAAAAAACCAGGAAATTACAATTTTACCCTTACTTAACTTATTTTTTCCCATTAATTTATCCTTACTTTACTTTAATCCTAATTACTAACACATAATCTAAAATCAGTAAACTAACTACTCCCTCCATATTAAATTAGAAACCCTCCCACCTCCCCTCATTTATTACTCATCCCAACCACCCAAAATTAATTGTGATGGCTGGGTTTCTCTATTTCATCTGGAGAATTCTCCAGAAGAATCCTTGTTCTTAATTTTTCTTCACTCCCTCTCTTCTGGTTCATTCGTCTTCTGCACTTTCTCTCTCTAGATCTGTCCATTTTCTCTCCATTCTTTGAGAATTTGAGTCCCCCCAAACATGGTGAACTTGGACCCCTTTCACGATGCTTTCATGGTAAAAACTGATGAAGCTGAAGGGAACTTGATCCTCTCCCTGATTCAATCCATAGAGATAGGGCACATAGAAAAGCAGCGACAAGGGCACTCAACAGGATTCGTGGGTTGCCTGACCATGAGTTGATCCTTCTGTCTTCTGATGAGGAATGCGAGAATCCAGTTTCGAAAGTGTTGAGGAAGAGGAACGTCTGAAGCGAGAGGGTCAGAGTGTATCGAAAGGGAAGAAGTCGCTTGATTGAAAGTGGTGAAGGGAGTTCCGTACCCACAAAAAGGGATAGATTTAAGAGGCCTCGACCTCCGAAAAAACCCCGGGCACATAGAAAAGCAGCGACAAGGGCACTCAACAGGATTCGTGGGTTGCCTGACCATGGAGACAGGGTCACCTTTTCCTCGTCGCTTCTATGAATCCAGTTTTTCAGGCCCCTACTGCACTTATTACACCTATAAAGCTCTTGGTAAAGTACTTGAAAGTGTTGAGGAAGAGGAACGTCTGAAGCGAGAGGGTCAGAGTGTATCGAAAGGGAAGAAGTCACTTGATTGAAAGTGGTGAAGGAAGTTCCGTACCCACAAAAAGGGATAGATTTAAGAGGCCTCGACCTCCGACAAAACCCCGGGCACATAGAAAAGCAGCGACAAGGGCACTCAACAGGATTCGTGGGTTGCCTGACCATGAGTTGATCCTTCTGTCTTCTGATGAGGAATGCGAGAAAGAGGAGGACGATACTCCTTCTTCCAAGAGATCTTCCCTCAGTGCTCCTCCCATGTCCAGATCTGAACACCCACGCCATGGTCACCAGCGCTCTGTGAGGCAGATGAACCCTAGGGTTCAACCCTCTGAGTGATCCCTTGCGTAACGATCACTAACCCTTCTCTTTTCTTTGATTTTATCCCATTTTCGTTTAATTTATTCATCAGTCTCTTTGCTTGGATTATTATGCATTTGGTCTTCGATTACGTTCTTCTTTGATGGATTAGTTGAAATATGTTGCTCTGTGATAGGATGGATGTCTTGGATCATTATGCTTTGGTTGGGTTACTTTTACTGATATTGGATTATGTTGGATTTTGTTGGTTGATTATGGATACCTACTGTTGGATAATGTTGCTCTGTGATAGGATGGTTGTGTTGTGTTATTATGCTTTTGTTGGATTACTTTTAATGATATTGGTTTATGTTGGATTATTATGGATTATTATTGTTCTGTGATGGATGAGTTGGATTATGGGGTTGGACTGGTTTGATTATGGTTGTGGACCTATGTGCATTTTCTAGTGAATTATGATATTGGTGATATTGTTGGTTATAGTTGACTGGTTTGGTAGATTATGGATTATTTTGATATTGTGGACTTCCTTTGACATTGTTGTTGGTGATGGATATGCTATGTTATTTTGATGTTGGATATATGTTGGACTGTTGGTGGATATAAGTTGGATGCTTGTTGAGCTTATGGAGTCTGCAAGGGTTCAATTATGTTGTATGCCCTTTTATTAAAAAAAACAAAAGCACATAAGGGATTATGATTTATGAATGATGACAGTACATCATGGTTTGGTGTATTGGAATGGATGTTTGGTTTTTGTTAAGTCCTCAGTGATCAGTTGATGTAGAGAACTATGGTTGCCCCTATGAGTATGTGTAACTTTACATATTTGTTCATTAATGAGTCCCTCTTTTGTGTTATGTGTAACAATGAATTTGTGGAGTCCCCTTTCTTATTTATAGAACTGTGCATGTGTATGATTATTGGTCCATATGATGAAGGGAGGTGGATCTTTGGCATCAACGCATGGGTCATCCGTCGGAGAAAGTTTTGAAGTCACTTCTGTTTCGGGGTTTTCTGATGTCCTGCGGGAGAGTTACAATTCCGAGACTGGAACCGGACGCCTGTACCTGCAAAATAACGGAGACTCCTGAGAGCTCCGCCTCCAACGGTCAAGTTAGTACCTGATTAAGGAGTAATTAATACGGAAATTAAAGTAATAAGACCTCTCTAGGTGAGAGTGTTTAATGTTGGTAATCTGCTTTGTTAGCGAGATTAGCCGGTTATTAGTGTTCCGTAATATTTCTGTTCTTCTCTGTTCTTCAGGTGAGATTAATTGCCTGATGTTTTCTTTACTGCCTAATTAATGAGGATTAATTAAGTATTTATAGTCTTGAGAAGCGTGCCACTCTCTAGGTTTAGGGTAAACCTAGGGCTGACCGGGCCTCTAGACAGGATTGGGCCTTGTTGGCCGGTTTTCCCATTTGGCATGGGTGGACACGTGGCGTGCCTCGATTGGTCCGTAGAGGACGTATCTGTGATTGACACGTGGCAGGCTCCTATTGGCCTTCGTGAAGGTCACGTGGCGGAACCTGGTTGGTCCACTTGTCAGACGGTGATTGGTGGATAAAAATCCCCTAATCATTTGCCCCTCACAGGTGGCACGTGACTGGTCACGTGTCGCCTGTGACAGGTGTCGCACGGTGACAGGCGACGACCTGTTACAGGTGTCACCTTGCAAACGGCCGAGAGATTTTCCCGCCCAAATTTTGAATTTGGAAGCGACCCTTCGCCTTCTCACTTTGCCTATATAAGGAAGTGCTAACTTCGGTCATTTTCAGATTTGAGAACTTTGCGAGAACATTCGCACCCCTGAACTTGCTCTGACATTTCGGACCTTTTCTGCCTACCGCCTGTTCTGACAAGCCGACTGCACCGGATTTCCAGAACTTCATCAACCGTCACTCGTTCAGGTAACTCAGTTCTCTTACTCTTAATTTTCTTTTTATTTTTTGAAATGGCACCACGGAAGCACACGACACGACCTAAGTTAGTGATCAGCCGGTCACCGGGGACGGCTGAATCTAGGACTAGGAGTGCCGCCTGCCCTTTTCTTGACCCATCTTTGCCCTTTATACAAAGTCCGACTGTATCTGTGTCTATGCAGAACGTGATGGCCAGAACAAAAAAGACTGCTATGATATCAAACTCAGACGGCTCCTCCCAAAGGGTGCTCATTAGTGAAACATCTGACCAGGCGCCAGATGTAGAATTGAAACGAGGCGGCTGCCAAGCCGACAGTTCTGAGAGAGGGGCCAAGGTGGTCCCTTCCCATCTTACCGTTGATATGTCTAATTTTCCTCCTGCTCCTTCTAAGGGAGAGGAGGCGGGCCCCTCTGGGAGAGGGGAGGAGTCGTCCTCTTCGGACTCGTCAGAGGACGAGTCCGAGTCCAGCTCTTCTGGCCACAGCTCTCCAGGCTCAGAAGAAAGACATAGCCGCCTACAAGAGGCGAGACTTTCTCATGCAGTTGAGAAGGGGGACAATTGGGCGGAGCCGTCCGCCTCTTACAGAGAGGAAAACGCCCCCTACTACTGCATGGTACCCCGGGGCCGGATCGCAACCATGCAAGACAAAGTGGAGAGCTTTATTGCTAACCACAGAATGGGCCCGGAATTTTTACTGTTCGTGCCGGATCCAGAAGACACTGTCGTCTGGCCAGCTGGTACCAGCTATGATGACGGCTGCTTTGGCTGCTATGTGGCGGCCATCAAAGCTGGACTGCGCTTCCCATTACATCCGGCTGTTCAGCGGATTTTAGATGGGTATGATTTGGGGTTATGGCAGTTAGCCCCCAACTCTTGGGTAAACGTACTCGGCTATGTGGTCGGGTGCGAAATGTACGGGGTGGAGCCAAGCTTTGAGGCTTTCGCCCACATGAACTATCTCAGCCGGACCCCTAAGTCGGGAGGTACCGGCTGGTATCAATTAACAAGCCATAGGGGTTACCTCATGACGAGAGGTA